GGAACAAAATCCACTTTGTATGATTTGGTACAAACTTTATATGGAGAGCGCTTGTACTTTCTATACCCCCTCAGCGACGTTGGTCTATTAGCCACTCGGACGACCACGACTCCGGTGCATTATTTGTGAAACGATAATTAGCGTTAGGCACTGTCTCGACTACAAAAGGACTAAATTTTGACTAGCCCTAAATTTTATTCTCGCATGGCCTCCGAAACAAGTCGAGAGGTCATAAAATCGAGCTGTACGCCATATCAACGGATTTAATTATCCTTCGACCGATTCCCATTTTAAAACGACTCTCTTTTTCATACAAACTATAATTGCTGAACTTGTAAAATGTTGGTTGCAAAAAGTGCCCTAAATCGAGACGATGATTGGATATCGTCAAGAAGCGTAACTACTGTACATGTGGTTCGGAGTTTAACTATCGGTAGGCACTGCCTAGGACATCCCTTCCACTTTTCCGTAGACCGTCAACTAGGGTGAGTGAATGGAAATGTTCTCTAGTTAGACTATACTAGACACTGCAAAGTCTAGAAACGCATTCGAGCTCTTTGAATCTGTATCGAATCGATTCTACCAAGTAGGTATCCGATCGAGAAAGTTGACGCCTTGTGGTTGTAAAATCCCACCTTTTTGCGTATTGCGGGCCGCGGAAAGTATGAGAACGAACTCCTGTAGTGAAAGAATTTGAAGGTTACCTTGGGTGAAGACAGTAGTTTTGACGAAAGCCATATCCACTTCTTTGCTATGGCAGAAAGTCTCCAACTTGTCATGAACAGGGAGCCAGTCCGATAACATCTGACCCAATAGACACAAGTAGTGTTCAGAGAAATGATGGAGCTAGTTGGGGCCAATTGGATACAAAAAATGAAGTAGTTGGAACGCCTGAACAGTTTTTTGCATTGAATTCCGCTTAACAGAAGCTAATTAACCTGCAAAATGCTTGATTGGTCTATCCCACTGCACCGTGAACCTGAGTTCATTCACTGTCTTTAATGCGTAAAGCAAACTTATTTGCTTTTGGAAATTATCAAGACGCGCTCCATAAAAAGTATATTCAGGCCCATTGACATGGCCTCTCTTTCTTTTCCTTTCCTGACCGTCCACCCAGCCGTCTGAGAAATGGGGTCAGCCGTTTTAGAGGATATTTTGAATTGCTAACCTTTCCAGAACGTATTTTTCGGAAACCTTTTGAAAACTGATCCGATGTAGAGCTTGAACTCTGAGTTCACCGAAATTGGTTAGCTACTTCGAAGCCTTCCATGGAGAACTGGACTCCATTTGCAGATGTGCTCAAGGTGAAGGAACTGGAACATGGAAGTTCCTTTGTTGGTGTTCTCAAGGCTGGAAAATCGAGAAAATGGTACCGTATCTTAGGGATCTGAAGAACGTAAAACCTTTGCTTGATTGAAATTGAGCTGTCGTGGTATAGCAGATAGATCTATTGAAATCAATCAACTAGCTCATCATCATTTTACTTTTGAGCTAGCTGATTGTAGCCGGAAATATGGTCATTCGAGGGGACCCCATTTTGAGAGGTTACTAGTCATCGATCACTAGCGTATATGTCAGTATTGGTAATTTACGACCGACCATTATATGAAGACTATCGAGGAGTCTCAGTCAGACCAAATGGAGGGAGGAGGCGGCAAGAAAAAAAAAACGATGTTCAACGATTAAAGGCCGAGCGATCGTTCGCTTAGAAGGCAACGACCTCCATCACTAACTCCTTGTAAAATCCAGCTATCCATTTAACAGAGATTGGTCCTACACTTGTAACACTACCGATTAGAACCACTCTTTTTCTGTTGGAATTCCTTTAGCTGCATCCTAACGCGACTCATCCAAGCTGCTCGTAAACCTTGCTCTATATACGATAAGGCTCACAATCGTGGGTATTTATTTGTGTATCTATGTATGAATTGCCAGCCGGCGCAATATGGTACGACTTCTTCTACAGATGTCTGCGGCTGTGAGAGGCGTAGTAGTAAAGGCGACCGAGGCAGTGACGGTCAACCATTTCATTTCGTTTCCCATGTCCTGACCTTGAGTATCCGTGCTAAGACAAAACCCCGCCCCTACCCTCCAACTCTCCGAAATGGGAGAGTCTCGAGTCATCAACGAGATTACCTGATCTCTCGGTGTCTAACGAATCTCCTAGCCGTCGTCTGCATCTATGAAGCCTTAACATTCAACTGCCTCATCTGAAGAACCCACTCGTTTCTGAATGTATGCCAGCTTTTCCTTTGGTCCTTAGAAATTTCGTGTAGGTTTTGATTAAATCCTCGAGTATCACACTACCGTTCGTTTCTACTGCTCATACCGTCCTTTGAACTACGTTCTTACTGTCGATGTCTCTTCCAGAAACTCCTATCAGCTTTGTTTGTGTTCAAACTGTGTTACAAGATCAAATTTTTCGAGCAATTGGGAACTCACTGCTCGGCCATTCCTACATTTTAGCATAACTGAGCCGCTTTCGTGCTTTTCAAAGACCGCTTTTGTCACCAGTGTTTCCGTCGTGGTATAGTTTTCCTTGTGCCCACCGAAACCTTTGAACGTTCGGAAGAAAATCTTATCTTAGTGCTTGCCTGCTTCCCCTGCCCTCCTTACATGAAACCAGTCTTGGAGATGTCCACCAAATTAAATGAGTAGACCTACCAGTTGGCAGGCAAGTTTTCGAGCCGGCACAAGTCAAAGCAAAGCAACGTTGAAAACCTACTTCGGTTTCGTTATAAATGACAGCGGCATAGGAACTCCACGATCAGAATCGGAAGAACATCCTACAGAGGGGTTTCCCGCAACCTACTTTCTGCTGGGAACTCGACCTAGTTTTTCTACCAAGAAATATCATGGAACCTACCAGACTCACAATAGTGATGGAGTCTTTTTATTGAGTTTTTACGTAAAACTATTACTCAGATACAAATATTATGACAAAATAAATTTAAAAACGAAAATTGATAAAAAGTCATTTTCACTTGAACAAGACATCATTGGTTGATTCTTTCCCACAGTGAAAAACCTACTAGTAGATTCATGATAGGCAAACTAATAGGGATTCGTGTTGGCGACAAATACTCCATACCGCATCTCATGCGTAATCAACCACTCTTCCTATTCCCCTATTTGATGCACTCAAGGTATTGTAGGTCACGATTTGCTACTTATTCGAAACCGCATAGCAGTTCCGACTATACATAGCTTCAAAAAAACGTACCCAATAGTTTCGGCAAATCAGTTTAGAGCTTTTCTTTCTCACCTTCTCGAAAAGTTCTTAGAACTGTTCTGTATAAGCTATTTTCCATCTATGCCTAGATTTTCAGCTTTCAAGAAAGGGTACATTCTCATCTGGGCTCTTCTTCTAGAAGTATCTAACCTTCTCAGATCTCTTTTTTTGAAGGTTTTTTAGCCCGTCTGCTGGTGATCAGGGTCCAATGAGCCGGAACGTAACCACAGTGTTCTGTTTTTTTTGAGCGCGAACACGGTTAAAAACGGGTGGACAAAGGTTATTAAAAAAGATGCCTGTAGACTGTCGATGTTAGAATGTAGACGTCCTCGAAAACATTCTTAAAGGGATCAACTGTACCGGTGAGGCACCAGAATGTTTTTCGTTTAATTAAATGACATATTCTCCGTCTATACCTCAACATTATTTGACTTACTTCTGAATGTGGCTACTCTTACGCTGTTCCTTGGAAGTTTTTGACCGAAATTCGCCTCTCTTCAAAGTGAACCAATTGTCGCAATTGTGAATTTGCTTGCTCTATTTACCCCTATACAGAGCAAGTCTACTCATACACTCTTATCCAATTTTTTCCTCAGCTTTGTCCTGAGGAACCGGTCTCTCGGCAAGTTCACTTTTTTCAAAACAGCCGTCTTTATGGCTTCCTCATGCTGCTATTCACTTCGTCTGTCTTCGCTTGCGGCTTCATCTCTAGACCCCTGAGATCACTTCGGACCATACAGTCAGGTTCTCAGCCTTACTCAACGCACTCGGGAACGTTCACGAACAAATGATCCTTGTCGTTGATGGCAGCGCAGGTAGTGTACTTTCCCAGCACAATAAGAGCATGCTAATCAGCAGGGGTGGATGTCGTGGTCATCCACGCAGAACGTCGTCGTGCCCTTGAACTTGTCCGGGGACGACGACGAGCACAACGACTACGACAAGACGTGCCTTTCATTGGGCGGCTTACGAGTCTTCTTAATGATATTCTGATACGTGGAGGAATGCGCAAAAAATTCCTCCGAACATCTATAACATCAACAGGACACAAAGTGCACGAGACGTTACGAGTATGAAATGGATTAGCCGAGAATTCCGATGAGTAATCGGGGATGGGTTCGCATTCGCTTTCCTATTCTGTCTCCCAACGAGCCCAGTGCCGTCTTTTACACAACGTTCAGACTTCTTGCAGGGTCATAGAGTAGCCGTAGCCGCCAGTTCGCCCGTTTACTAGTTGTTCCATATATCGCCCCATCTACTGTTAGGCATCTTTCCTACTTAGTCTTTCCTTCAGTCGATTGTCTTTGGATTTACAAACGCTATCACCTTACTGCATCCATATCTTCATGTATAGAGATTTCAATGGATATTACAAGCGAGGCGGCTGATTATCCTAAACCAAATGCTTTCTTATTTATATACTTTCTCATTTGCTCTTCCAGCTTCGGACCCCTTTTTCTCCATACAGCCAATTCCACCTGTTCTAAATCTACAACGTGATCGACCGAATTCTTGGGGAAGTTCTTCGGGTAGTGTTCGTCAGCATGTTTTCAATGTCATCGCATTACCTCAGCCCCGCTGATAACCTTTACAACGTAACTGGGTCATCAGTGTGCTAGTTTGAACCGGGCGGCCAGGTAAAGGTCATTTAATCCAATTCGTTAGACGTGCTCATCGATCTACTGATTCATTACTACAAGTTCATCATGCACTTCGCAATTTCGCTTAATTCATACGGATAACTTCGTACATAATAAATTGCTTCCAGAGAGGGCTACGATGGTCCCGCGGAGTCAGACGGGCTGGCTGGGCCCGCTGGCTTTTTGTCTGCTTATCGCAGGCATCGAGACCATATCCAAGAATTTCGTCAACAGCTCCATGCCCGAAATGAGGCCAACCTTTGTTGTCAATTTTGACATGGCCACCGTCATTTGTCAGCACAGGTGCCTTACCTTTTTATTCAGCCGTCTCTATCCAGCAGTCAGAATCTGTAGGACGTTAGAATAGCACCACACGGCAGTTTCCTTCCCATTAATTACGTCAGTTTTTCAGTGCCGAATCAACAGATCTGCACCTACACGAAATCAGTGTACTATGTGACGGCAAAAACGACTGCTACCAAAACCCGGCCATGCATGATGAAAGTTTTCCTTACTGTGGTACGTTTCGTTTATGCTGGCTGCTTAATCTTCACGGAACTCCTTATGAGTACTGTTAGAATACAATCTGTGGTCGACAGGAAAAAGTTCGCCATTCATTCATTTCATTTTCGATTATTTTCGAACTTTCTTCTGGAATTCATAGATTGCACTTCAGCACTATACCAATAATGAATTTCATGGCCACCTCTTATAGCCGTGCACGTTCAATTCCAATTCTATGCACTATTTGTCAGCGCCATATGACCCTGAATCAAGAGTTTTGCCCGAGACTGCCAGTCGTGTATGCGTGTATTTGTAGAATGGCATATCTGACCCAGATATCGTAATTGGCTGCGTGGTTGACCGTAACCGGCTGGCAGTCTCGAGACTCACCATAATTGTGAGAATTCTGCGGCGGACATAGGCTAGACCACTGATGGTCGTACGAGACTGCGGAATTCAGTGGTTGGAAAGAAATTCGGACACCTAATTGCTTTCTCGTCCTCTCTCGTATTTTTACAAGTATACCAGGTCAAGTGGCTTCGATTAGGGCCAGGTAAGGTATCCTTAGCCGATGTAATAACTTAGCAATTCGTTTTCTCAAGAAAAGAAATCGATCTCAGGGTGTCCTAGAGTTCTCTACGCAACATGAAATGGGGATCCATGAAGCCTGCGCTCACCACTGTAACTATTAGAAGTTGCCAACGCCTGTGTGATCTGAAACCAATTCAGTTCGCCAGTAGCGTCTTAATTAGACCTGAACCACTGTGGAAGAACCCACGTCCAGATGTGATCCCGTTGTGATTTCCAAAGTTATGTAGTGATAGGAGGAGGGTAATGACGGTGAATGCTAAGTGCAGTGAAAATCCCACTTCGATTTTGTTGAAATCTCGAGAGGAAAGGCTTATTCAAAGACTAAACCCCACTTTTTCCATAATCCAGGTGGCGTTCATAGCCCGACGGCGAGCGAAGCGCCAGCAGAGTGAGTGGTACAGTTTGATTCACTATTGCGTAACAACCCATATCTCTCAAAACTAGCGACAACGACCTGTTCTAGATTGAAGTTGGCGAATGAATTCTTCGGAGTTAGTCAGAAGATCGATGTAGATTGAATGAGCGGATGATGAATTTTTTTCCTTACTTCCATAGGCCGTCTTCTGATACTCCACTAATTACTCATCACACTTTCTCTAACGTAATAGCAATTCATGCCGGGATACGAAAGTACCGTTTATAGTGTGGTCATAAGCGTCGATCATAAGCAATCTAAACGATTATGACGAGATTTACAACAAGCTCTCGGAAAGCGTTGGCGACCTCCTCCCATTAAATTCATGAAGACCCGTCCAATAAACACTTTGAAGATCGTAAACAATGTCCTTTGCAGGTCGTAAACAATGTCATGCTACCGGTTCGGGTTTGATCCGAAAAGTTTGCTTGCTGGACCTATTCCCGGCTATTTGTAGCGTCCGTGTCGCTACTTCAGCACAGCGATCGTATAGCGATCCTCAAGAATACAGAGAGTCTTAGATGCAGGGCTGTACATATGTGAAGACGTTGGCAGCGGCAGATAACTTTCGATTCCTTTAATTGAGTTAAATCGGATTTATCCGTTCGGATGTCTACTGATCCATGAAATTGGTACGACCCAATGTGTAAAAATGGATGTTATACATAAAGGTGTGGAGTACCTGCTAGCCATACCTGTCAGCGGTTGTGTTGCGCTCAGGGGCATCCTAATGTAATGGAAATAATGTTTTTATTAGATCGAATTTTTATATCAGCCTAACTTCACACGACGCCAGCCATTTACCCTTGGATACAGTTCGCACACCACTTTTTACTAAGTTTGCTTCTTTAAGGGGTTACATTTTTTGCTTCTTTAAGGAGTAGTAATCTTCCCTGAAATTGGTAAGTATCGCACAGAAGTACAGTTTTCAGAAAGGAAATGCAACTCGACGTGCAGCGATCGTGGTGCTTGCCTCTATGATGGTCAAAAACCGCAATGCTACTGTAATTCCGGATTCTCAGGGCCAATGTGTGAAATTGTCGGTAAGACTTTGATGTTCATAATTGAACTGGTTCGTATACCATTTCAGTTCCAGTTCTCATCAGAATTCTCATTCATAGCTTCAAACTATCAATCGTCTTTGTTCAGACAAAAACGAATGCCTGGATAAGCCGTGTCATTGGCTGGCCCACTGCCAAAACACCCTAGGATCCTACGAATGTGCATGTTTTCCAGGATTTCATGGTGACGGCTATCATTGCGCAGGTCAGTCTCATTTGTATTTTACAATAATTGAGAGAAGTGCTTCCGAATCCCACTCTTTGAAATTAGTCTTCTACTGGTGTAATTCTTGTCGATTTGATTTCAATTAGATGCACAATTTCCACGCGAAATTTTCCAAGTGCTAATGGGCGGTCCCAGATGCCCTTAGCGCACACTTAACTGGCCAAAGCGGCCGTGCGCAAAAAGAAGCGTCAAGTGGGCATTGTTGCGGCTTCAATGGCACTAATAACAAGTGATGAGGCGTAAGGTCACATTCCTTAGTCCTTACAAGGCTCGTGCACGGCCGTGGACGCCAATAACTACCACTAAATTAGAAGGATCGTGACTGTCACCCGGCGACACTCGGGCGGTGAACTTACAAAGATCTCATACCTCAGTAGATGAGTACACGTCGCCATTCCCTTGTAAAATCTATTCAGAAAGAAAGAAGTTCCGTAGACAACCTAGCAGGCTTTTTTGAATCTACGCTATATGTAAGGGATTGTAAAGGTCAACTGGACGATTGAATGACCTGCACAAGAAACAAAAGGCAAATTGGCATAGTTTTGAAAGGGAATGGCCAACGGATAAATGTTTTCGACTATCTGGGAGCTGAAGGTCGAATACATCACTCGTTTCAATGCCAGCTCATGATTCAAACAAGCACAAAGTGCAGCCTCAACCACATTCTGTTACATGAAGAGACCGTGGTGAGAAAAGCTACCATAGATCATGGTAGTTATGAGGACGTTGGACGGCGATTCGACAGTGAAGAATTTCGCGAGAATTGAGAGGAAAATTTCCACGAAACCTACGAAATGATCTCTGAGAGGTCAAGGAAAAAGGTATTCTGACTGAGGTTCGTCACGTTTACCATGACGTGAAGTTGTAATTAGGAACTAGAAGTGAATTATAGTTCACACCTTTGCGAATGATTGAATAGCAGTGCTTAGATTCCAAGAGAAATACCTCGAGAACGCTTAGGGGGCATCCCATCTTGTGTACGCCAGCGATTCTTAATTCGCGGAGCAGATATCACTGTGAGTCACCAATGACCCCATACGACCAGAGCTGCAACTCCATTGGAAAGCTTCCTTTAAACAGCTTATTTGATGCTCTTCCCGGGAGGATCAATCGAAAGTCTTCACAACTCCCAAAGGAATGTGTGGGCTCTATTCCTGTATCAGGTACCTTGAATTCTTCGCCTTCCAATCACTGCATGCAAAGGAACCGCCGCGTATGAGTTCGAACAGACAGTCACAACAAGTTGCCCGCTCAGTTCCCAAGCCATTTGTAGCGCTTGAACACGTGGGATTTGAACCGGCTCAGTACACGACAGTGAAAGTAGAATGCTGCCTTTTCCAGTTCTATGTAAGGGTCGTCCTATTCACAAAGTCCTCTGACATATCTTATTATAAGTTCACAAATCGATTCCAGTCATGCGGCCAATCTTTTCCTTGACCGGTAACGTTCTAGCATACCAATCCACCACTACAGCTCCTTTACCATGCATTTGAACGTTTCGACTAGCAATGTTGCCATCGATGGCAATGCCAGAGTTGAATGGCCTTCACATACCGCGTTTACAAGTACAGGTTACCTTTTACCCCTGGTCGGAATGGACGACTTGTTGTCGTGGACACAAAGGCGTAGAATGGGAAGGTGTCCAATTCGCTATGGTACATGTGACTGATACTTGAATTACAGTCACAGACCGACACTCAAAGAAATCGTTTTTGGTAGAGGTATAACTTAAAGAACAACCGAACTGCGCGTCCAATTGCGTATATGATAGCTCAAAAGGTAGCACAAGCATTTAGTACAAGAAGACAGTTTTTAATCATTACTTTTCGAAAAACAGCTTGTATATTCCCATCCAAATAAACTATTTCCAGATATTGATGAGTGTTCAATGAGCAAATACACTTGCCCCGAGAATTCCGTATGTGTCAATTTACCAGGAACCTATTTCTGTAATTGTACCGAAGGCTTCGCACCGAAGGTGAACATTCTCTAGGAAGCTTTTCTGAATTAGTTTTAATCTCTCATAAAATCTCTTTTTTTACGGCACTGGAACATTATTTTCAGGGACTTCCACTGGAAAAATGTGCTGATATCAATGAATGTGAGATGAATCTGCACAATTGTGGAGAAAGTCAAATGTGTCAGAATACGGTAATACACTCGCAGATCATCAATATCGATTTATCTTGGAACAGTCGTTCATGGCAAATTTCACAGCCTAATCGAATTCGTTGTTTTGAGAACTGTCCGACAAACGCGATTGGATTACCCCATATTTTCGATTACCCACTTTCTTGAAATAGTCAGAACTAGAACTAAAGAAAACTCGTCAGTTTGACTGGACCAATCAGATTTTTAAAAGAATAAGAAACACAAACATGAACTCAGAAAAACTCATGCAAAAAACTTACTGCTACATCATCATAGATCAACTATCAGACAAAGAAATCCAAAAAAAAAACAAAAAGAGCTCCGAAAAAACTCGGCAGTTTCTCAATAGATTTTGGCACGAGAAAGGAGACACGACGAAAAAACTCACCAATAACAACGTTCCCCTGAAACATACATCCAGTTGCCTCTGCTGCCCTTGTTACAAGAAAACAATTGCATGGCAAAGATGGCGATGAAACTGCTTTCTGGAAAGTACTGCATAGAAAAACGTTTCAAGTCTTCAAGGCATTTTAATATCTCCAAGCCCCTTCCCACAGCAATTTTGGTCACAGAATCGGTACCCCAAAAAGTTGTGGCTAGACATGCTAATTACTCATCGGTGACACTTCACGGTGACAGCAAAGGCCTTACGCCGGCTGTCGCGGAGATAGCCATCTGAACTGTACCGCATACGAAATCATTCCAGGTTCAGGTATCTGCTAGGTAACTTTCAGGGTAGAGGAAATGAGATAAGATTTGGAGTCAATTTTTTTCAATAGGATCATGAGGAGATGAAACAAAATTAGAGTGAATATACACCTATTGAACATGTCCCTCATTATAAGCCAAGTATATGACTTCCAGTAAGAATTGTAGTTGGATTTGAATGTCAATATGATGGGATCTGCATACATATGAGTACTGTACTGAGCAGGTATTTTTGCTCTCAAAAAAATTTGGTCTGAAAGTGATGAAAGATTTGGACGACTTGGGGTGTGCTTTTATGAAATGTCACTTCGCCTCGACGACTGAACTCGTAATGATCATGAAGACTGTCCAGTACACACTTCGTTTAGATTGGCGGGTACAACTGCGTCGACCGCTGCTCGCAAGGCTACGAATATTTGGATGGCGAATGCGTGGACATAGATGAATGCCGTCTTGAAAATGTGTGTGATCCTCGTGCACAATGTATCAATACTCCCGGAGGATTCCAATGCAGCTGCGATGCCGGACTAACCGGAGATGGACATTACTGCGAACGTAAGTGTGCTAGCTACCTGTTGAGAGACTAGATTTATCCAAAGTCCATGCAAAAAAATGTTTCCACGTAGCTTATGCCGCAACTTATCTAACTGAAGGTACATGGATAGAAGTGGGAGTTCCATGAAGCTGGAACACGACCTGTTTACGGGATATATAGTCTTGTGACCTTTTTCCAGTATTATGGTGGAAGCGATGTTCCTTTTCTGGCAAGATCATGAGCTTAAGCATGAGAATCGCTTGAGCATTCTCTTTGAGACTCTCTTCTGAAATGACATGTACGTTCGAATAAGTGAGAACACTAAGAACTAGACAATGCTTTTCTTTGATTGTACGTTACGCAAAATTGGCTGCAAAAAGGAAACGAGGCCTCACGTTCTTTGAATACTGCTTTAAACATATCTCCCTTTATAGATACATCAGAGATCATTTATGACCTCACGAAGCGCAACCCTCCGAAAGAAGCGTTATTAACAAAACCAAGACAGCCTTATGGGGAAGCTAGATTGTGACATACCCAATCTATTACATAACCATCCACCAGGTGAGAAGGTGGATGATTATGGTCACTTTTGGGAAAAGTTCAATAAAAACAAAAGTTCAGAAGTAGTAGGTTAGCCTACGCCGAATGATCTCCCAAAACCTTTAATCGGAGTCTAAAAGGCTATACCCACTTTCATAACTCATGGATTGCAGAGAACATTTGCTCTACTTTTCCAGCGATCACTGACTGCAGCCAACAGGAGGATATCTGTGACCGACACGCGTTTTGCATCAAATCGCTGAAGTTGTGCCTTTGCCAGACCGGCTACGTTGGCGATGGCATTACCTGTAATGGTAAGCGGACGCCCAAGACCTTGTCTAGAAGCTTCCCCACCTAATTCGTACAAAATTGATTCCATTGAATTTCTCAGATGTAAACGAATGTGCAACAGTGGAAAGCCCATGTGCAAATCAAACTGGTCATCGCTGTGTGAACATCAATGGCGGCTACATCTGTTGTGATGAAGATGTCGACGATGATCGATGTATCAAAGGTGAGACGCTTGTCTTGTCAAGAGTACGTTAAAAAAATCGAAGAATGTCTTTCAGAAAAAGGCGCCTTCTGTGCGGGTGGATGTGGATTGCATGCGGTATGTTACAATCAAACTTGCCAATGTATGGAGGGATTCGTTGGAGATCCACACACAAGATGTATAGGTAGGGTGAACTTTTCTACAGAAAATTGAATCAAAATCATTGAAAAAATCAAAATTGAATCCTAAAACGAATTCTCACAGATGTGAACGAATGCGAATCAGACAACATGTGCGCTGGAGTGGGTGAATGGTGTGTGAACAAAATGGGAGGCCATCTATGCTGCTCTTCGGAAAGCGAGGAACCCGAATGCCAGGTTTGGTACACTTCATATAGTGAACTGTCTGCACTACTCGTTTTTCTGTTCTTCTTCCACGCCACGCATCCAGCACTCACAACATTTGTGGAGGCATTCAATCATTCTGTTGCTCTTCCACAATATATTAATGGGTGCTAAGGTGCGAGATCAACGCACAAGCTAGTATTCATTCCCTAGTGGACTGGATAGGTATGGTACCACTGTCCAGAATTGAACTATGGATTAGTCAGATAGAATCAAATAACGGTGCCGGCAGCTAGAAGATCTGGGTTAGTCCGGCAACGTTTCAATACCCTAATAAAATGGAACATTATGAGAGCAAGAAAGCCCTCAGATCTCGGCTGTCCAGGCTGTAGCAGTCGATTGTAGCGGTTTGATTTGACTAATTCTGTTGTTCAGTTCACTGTTTCCTCGGAACTATGACGTGGTTGGGTTGGTTCTACGGTGAGCTCACAATCTAGCAGGGCTGAGCTACTTCGAAGTCATTGAACACATGATAATTTCGTAGTATTAGTGAAATGAACACTACTTAATGTTATTAGGTTGATGCATAATTATTGCGGATTTTTTCGCGGCTTTTTTTCTCCCGAAAATGTTTAACTATTGAGTTCGGGTTTTTTCTACAAATGATCTACTTGATTTCCTCTACAAGAATATACTCAAGTAACCATCCGCATATTCGCGTAATTAGGCTTAACTACTTCGAGAAAGATTGGAAGGTGGCACAGTCATTCCGCGATCTCAGTAACTTTTTGGCGATCGTACAATCAGCCAGAGCCAACCAAGAAATGGGATCTGCCCCTGAATCTGCCATATTCACCAGCAGAAACTTTTATGGATTATCTCGTCAACCGTTCATCGAAAAATGGCTAGAGAATAGAAGTTACGTCGATTTGGATGACCTGATGGCCGATGTCAAGGCGTGGATCGCCCGTAAGGATCAAAACATCTTCCCTTTTGGGATCCGACCAACTAATCAGTGGGAAGCAGTGCTTGACGTAGATGGTAAAGAAGTTCCGGAGTAATTATTTGAATATGTCTTTCCCTAGTATTTCTGTAATTTCTTTAAGTAAAATTTGCTGGAAAAATCCGCAATAGTTATTCATAAACCTAATATATAGAGGCAGGTAAAATGCAGGGAAATGGAATATATCAAAATGTTTGACCGTATTTGACCGTGTTTGACCACCAGTACATTATGTGTACTTTCACTAGATCACCTAATGAACGATCGCTGAAAAGTTACTGAGATCGCGGAATGAGTGCGCCACCTTCCAATCTTTCTCAAAGTAGTAAAACCTAATTTTGCGAATATACGGATGGTTTTTCGAGTAATTCTTGTAGAGAAAATCAGGTAGATCATTTCTAGAAAAAACCCGATCTTGAAAGTAAAATTCTTTCAAGAGGAAAAGAGCCGCGAAAAAATCCGCAATAATTATGCATCAACCTAATAG